CTTACTCGCCAAACTTGGCGAATGCAAAATGTGTCAGACGGCTCGCCACACCGTCGACACAAGTTGTGGAGAGTGAATTCAGTTTCCCCGCCTCTGCACGGCGGTTTGTGGAGGGTGGTCTTCGGACCTCGCCACAAAACAGCTTTCTGGAGAGTGCAGGGCTTCACGAGTCGACATCGGGGAGACAAAATTTTTTAACCTTTCCGTAAAAGAAATCTAGTGGCGAGTACGTGCAACCAGGCCTCGAGTTCGACACAATTCTCATATTTTTCACTCTCCACGCATCCGCCACGAAACGTGACGGATGGCGAGTAGTGCAACTAGGCCCTTCGACATGCTGTGCGGCGAGGAGAAAATGTCAGAAAAAATAGTTTTCGACATTGATGTGGCGCCACACCAATGTTGAAAACTGCATTTTCTACATTTTCTCCTCGCCACACATCATGTCGAAATCCGAGATGCAAAAAAAATTCAGCTGTCAGGGAAAGGGTGTGGACACCTCCTGTCGAGAAGGGCTCGTTTCCCAGCCTGCAACTCGCACATTTTCAACAGTCCTCGGATGGGATGTCGAATTCTTGCCCGAATGTCGAAAAAGAGAGCGCACCAACGCTTGTCCTATCTTCACCCCAGTTTGTCTCTTTCGTGTGCATACGACTCGTCAGTTCTTCACTTGGACATGCGGTGTGGCAAAGAGGGGTTTTATGTCGAAAGAGGGAATGTCGAAAATCTCCTGACATATGTCGAACTTTGTGATGTTTCTACATTGGTGTGGCGAGGCCCGTAGTGTAATGCATGGTCTCATGAGCCTGGATCATATTTTGAACTTGCCTTTACGTGAGGGACGCCAGACCCTTTTTTTTTTTTTTTTTTTTTTTTTTTTTTTTTTTAACTAGCTCACCTTTATTAAAAAAAAAGTACTCTTTGAGCCCGGGGTCCTCACAGTCTACCCGGAGATCATGAAATCTGGGAGCCTTACCCAGCTTAAGCTTTTCACGGGACCAGCAAGAGGGACGCGAACCAATCCTTCAAAAACCAAGAGACAGACCAAATTACTTATCCAGTCTAGAATGATCTAGCTTACAACCAACTCTAGAACAACCCAACGCCTAACTATCAAATTCCCGCTTAATCTACAGTACCACAACCACTTTTCTCTCCAAATGAATAGGAAACACAAGGATTTAACCTGTTAAAACCTTTGCGGCCTATTCCGGCCTACTCGCATTACAGCTCCCTGACAGGTGCTTACCTACGACAGCCACTCTGAGAGTTTCAAATTTCCATCTTCCGAGAAGGACACCAAGTCAGGAGCGTTCCCCCATGTTTGCCTGAACCAGTGTCGGTTCTTATAAGCATGGCTCCCTTGGGGGGACCAGTCCGATCTAATTATCTGTCGAACCAAAACTTTTGCTGAAGCAAACAGCTCCTGAAGAGGTGTTGGTTCCAGCTTAAATAAGGCTCTATTCCGAGCTTTCCAGATTGCTTCCATGACTGCCCCTCTGCAGGCCAAGGCTACATAAGCTATACCAGAGGAAAAATCATTCACAGAGGGAGAGTGAGCAAACAGAATCCATTCCTGAGTCCAGGGGAGTTCTTTAGCCGCCGCCCCTTCCCAATTTTCTTTCCACCATTCCCATACCTTGAATGAGAGAGGGCAAAACAGCCAAACATGGTTCGCTGATTCCCAACCCCACCCACAGCGTGCACAATGCTCTTCAACTTCCATCCCCTTAGCGGATAGCCAGACTGCCGCTGGGGTTACCATCAAGAGCTGGAGCCAAGCCAGACTGGCTTGTTTCTGAGACACAACTGCCATTTCGTCAAAATGGACATTTTTTATTTTTTGAACGAAATTGAAACTGAGTTTTTAGCTGAAAACTCATCAAAATTTGCTGTTCCTGAGGGTCCAGCATTTACCCCTGGCTGTACATGGACCTAGCTTGAGACCAGGCACCTCCAGGCAGGACTGCCTGGAGGTGCCTGGTCTCAAGCTAGGTCCATGTACAGCCAGGGGGTCCAGCGTTTGTAAAACGCTGGACCCTTTTGACGAGTTTTCGGCTAAAAAACTCAGTTTCAATTTCGTTCAAAAAATAAAAAATGTCCATTTTGACGAAATGGTGGTTACACCATCCTTTTCAGTCCCTGACAGATTCCTGCTAGGTCAAGGTTTCCTAGGCAAAAGCCAGGTTCTTTCCCCAGTCTGTCTGCCACTGTAATTATCGGGTGTCTCTTCACTCTTGATCTTAAAATCTGCACTCCAAGCTTAGTTTTGTACGCCGCAACTGGGGTGGTAGCATCCACTTTTGATGTCTCTTTCCAACCAAACATTATTGGTTCTATTTGTAGAACCCCCACCTCCTCAGCTATAACCACCGCTGAAGTTTTATCGCCTGATGTATTGCTCCATACTCTGCATTCCGGTAGCCCCACCGTTGTGGGGATCACCTTATCGCCGGTTTTCTTCAAGTGTCCTGATGGGTTACGGCGGCCTTCTCTCTCCCAAACTTGGACCTTTATACCTTGAGGTAGAGCTGGCCCAATGACTTTCAGGAAAGACTGGTCGGCCCAATGACTTTCAGGAAAGACTGGTCCTCCCCCTGGTCCACTAGCCACGCCCCCTGTCCATATTCCATTTTTGGTGGAAGCATCTGTATCCAGTAAAGTGGGATTGCTGAGCGGAGAGCAGCATAGTTGATTTCAATATTGCGAAGTCTTCCAAGTCTGGCTTTTTTTTTTTTTTTTTTTTTTTTTTTTTTTTTTTAAAGCGAACAACCCGAGTCAATGCTAGGGATGCTGGTTCCAAGTCTGGCTTTTAACGAACTTTCTCCAGACCCGTTTTCACACCGGTGTGTACTGGGCCGGAGTGCCCGGAACATACCGAACTTTTTGAACGAAAAAAAAAAAAAAAAAAAAAAGAGCCCTATCATCAGGCAGAACATGGAAAGATGAACGGCTACAATTTTCTGTGTTTTTTTTTTTTTAAAGGCAACACATAGTTTATTAAATGCCGAAACACTGATGAGGCCGGGGTCCTCACAAATCTACCCGGTAAATGACACGAGTTTTAGCCAGACCAACCTGGCAGAGCAAGACACAACTCAACCAATTAGCAAGCAAACCCACAAACAAAGCCAGACCAACCTGGCGGAATACAGACAATCAGGCCAATCCTGACTGACCCTAAACACCTCCCAACGAACGACCACTCTTGGACTACGGCCCCCTTTTTTTGGTCCTAGAACGGACCTCGGGGCCTACCCCTCCCATAACCCAAGGCATAGTACACCACCGAGTGACCAGGTTGGGATCGCCTTGAACCCAGTCCCAAAACCCCTAAACTATTCTAACTGCCTGTGTCCCCACAAGACCCTGTCTACCCCTCGATCCCCCCCTTAACTATCATTATATCATTATCACTCAGTACCGCCCCTTTAAGCTAAGTAGATGTGATGCCTTTACTACCCATTGTAACCCCTTAAATGTTCCTGTCTTCTTTGGCCTCAGCTATGCAGCTTTCAACCATGGGGAGAGAACCAGTTTCCCAGTTGTCGACGAGACGGCTGCCAACCGATTGTTTTTGGCCCATGCCCGCAAAAACCACAGTCTTGCTCTCGAACGGCACGGCTCCGCCCTGGACATAACCTTTTTCCTCCAGTCCACCACTTGCTGTGTGTTTGTTGTACACTGTACTTGAAATTCTTCTGTCAGCCACGACTACATAGCTAACTTTGTGTTTTTTTTTGTTTTTTTTTGTTTTCTTTTTTAGCTAACCTTTGTCTTTTGTGCATTTGGTGAATGGTCCGGCGAGGCCCTACGGGTAAAGCACGGTAGGGCGCGGCCCCTCCATGCGCGCTGCGCGGGGACTCGAGAGCGGGAACTGAGAAGTGAGCTCACACGTCACCGCCGCACAGTGCGGCTCGAAACTGGGCGTTCTGCCAATTGGCGGCATTGGGGGCTTTCCGTTTTTTTTTAGTAAACGGATGAACCTGTCCGTTCTCTGCTGGAAGAAGCACTCGTTTCGTTTTCCATTTCTTGTACCGTGTGGCGACGGCCTATTCGGGGCAAGAGACGCCCGACATCGGTTTTGCACTTGGTCTTGTTCTTGTCTTCTTTGCGTTTGGTTGAGTGCCACTGAGTGGTGCAGCGAGGCCCTACGTCTCTCACTCTGGCATTCTCAGCCCGGACTCCGATGAAGGAGTTCGTTTCTGGGACATCGATGAAAGCGGATCCGCTCCTATCCTGGGACGTCGTCAACCCTATGGCGTTTGCCGCCTACTCTCTTGACCTTGGCCCATTCTATCGAGTATCATGCGAGCCGCCTTACACTCGAGGGTCACAGTCTCTCTCTTTTCCTCTCTCTCTCCCTTCGCTTCAACTGTTTCTTGCGCAATGTTAGTGTTCATCAATAAAGGGTCATACTTTCTCCATCTTCCATTGGCTGTTCGACTGAGTTGCCAATGAAATTCCGAAATCAACCGCTTTCATTTCTCTCTCTCTCTCTCTCTCTCTC